AAGGAATGTGAGTAAGCCAAATGAGAAACACTGGCAAGCAGCTAAAAGGGTGTGAAGATATTTAAAAGAAACCCAAAACAAGGAATTGTATTTAGAACCTAAAGGAGAATTGAAAATAACAGGGTATGCAGATGCAAACTATGGGAATGACATTGTTACAAGAAGGTCCACATTGGGAATGACTGTACATTTAGCTGATAGCATAGTTAACTGGAAAACAGCTAGACAGAAGTTTATATCACTTTCATCAGCTGAATCTGAATATGCAGCTCTATCAGAACTTTGTACAGACCTCATATTCTACAAACAGCCCAGGATCTAGGAATAGATTTAAAGCATCCAATATCTGTAAATGAAGATAACCAGGCTGTGATACAAATGGCAAATTCTCCAAATGTAAAAAGCAGGTCAAAACACACATACGGTACCAAAATGTGAAAGAAAGTATAGAAAATGGTCTAATCAAACTGATATATTGTGAGACTGAGAAAATGTTGCTGACAGCTTGACAAAAGTATTAGGACCCACTAAACATGAAAAAACATGTACAATGTTGGGAATGAAATGAAGTGAATGTAAAATGTGAATGTACTATAATGTGTAATAATGAAAACAATTTAATGATGTATATGAAAGTAAACAAATTTAATGATTTAACAATTGGAGGAGTTTGACAGGTTTGGGCTAAACCTGATAGAATTGTTAAATCAAATTTTGTACATGACAATAAGTAATTGTCAGGATCAGTATTGTAAAAGTGAAGCAAAGCTTGAATGTATACAGCTGAGGTAATGGGAACAGCTGTGAATGCAATCATAGGATTGGTCAATACTGGGATAAAACTAGCAGACCAAGCATACACAATCTGTGGGTTGGTGGTGGTGATGCTGGGTGGTGTATTTGTGGAGAAGAGTCGTCATGTTCCTGTGCTGGAGAATCCTGGAGGAAGCCATGTCTACGAGCTTGGAATTGAAGAGGAACTCTGGCTACCTGGATGGAACGTATGGTATACGACTACTGAACTTATTTGCTGGACATTGACTCTGATATATGCACTAAACTCTGCGGAAACTGTTGTGCTTTACATTGGGACTGGGAACAAAGACTTAGCTGTAAATATACCTGTATATTCTGTAAATAATACATCTGCTATCAACACTATTCTGGTGCTTGGTGTCTTCATCATCTCAGGGAAGATCTTTTGGTTATCGCCCCCTGGTGTGTACCTGTACTACAGCTACTCTGTCAACACTCCTCTCCTTTTTCCTTTCCTCCTTTATTCACTCCTCCCCTTTTCCTTATTTTCCTACATATTTATTCCTCTCAGTTCTTGGCTTTGTTTTTTCTTTTCCCCTTTGAACAGCATTGGGAAAAGGAAGTAGATTTTAAAAGACATGCAAAGTATTGTGATGAGCAGAGTTAAAACAGAGAGAGTAGACGTTATTGCGATGCCTCTTTGTTTCTCCTTCAAACAGTTCCAAGCAAGAAAGTGCCCTTTTATCTGCTCAAGCCCTCTTTCCCCATTTTTTTCTTAAGCCTGCAAGGGAAGAGGGGGAAGAATGTTTCCTTCTGAACATTTGTGTTGTTGTTGTGCTGCTCTTCCTCCTGCTGCAAGCAATTTACTGATAAACATTGTACAAGTTCAGTGGTCATGTAGTGGCCATGGCACCCAAAAACCTGAACTGTACCAAAGTAAATAAACCAACAGCAACCTTCACATGTGCTGAAACAGTGAGGATTGAAATGATACAGTGATAGGTACATTTTAAAACAATCATGCTGGTGAGGTAGGGAAAAACGATTCACTGGCCAAATTAATCAATGTTACCAATGCATCATGTGAATGGAAATTTATTTTAAACATTAAACAATAGCAAAAGTTGATATACTTGAGTTCTTTTGGTATGTGTGATCAAGTCTTGACTTACAGTCACTCTAACAGGGCTTTCAAGTTAACTGAGATATTTATGGAGTGGTTCTGCTTCCCCAGTAAGTTTCCACTGACAAGCAGGGAATCAAACCTAGGACTCCTGAGTTCATTTAATCCTTTTTTTCCCCACTGCTGCTCCCAGAAAATCCACCCTCTCCGTACAGCAGCTTAAACAACAACAAAAGCACAGAGACTCATTGATCCAAACATACCTGGGCACAGGCAGGAGCAACAGAAGAGGTCAGGATTACTGAGCTGAGACCCAGGGAAGGCAGCTTGCAGTCCCGCATTAGCTAGGTATGTCCATACTGCAAAGGGTGCTTAGCTGTGGTTTTACAGGGGTGCTCTGTCACCTATTCCAGAGCAGCCAACCAATTAACATTGCGGATGGAACAGTCAGGAATAAGATCTGGACACCTGAAACCTACCAACTGAAAAAAGACAGTCAGTAGGAATAAAGCTAATACAACAGCCCTCAGGGCCTGAGGCATGTTTCATATGCTTTTTATAGACTGTGAAACATACCTGATATTCAACATGCATGGGAAAGGAATTTCCTAGAAAAGGAGCAGAACGAACCTGTTCCTTGTGTTGTCACTGTAGTCTCTGGAAGGAAAAGTAGGAATTTGTAAGCGATTCATTTGTCTAAAAGTTTCACTTCTTGGTCTTACATATCCACAACCTTGAGATTGGTCTTACATATCCACAACCTTGAGTTTGCAAGACATCAGCAGGGGTGTTAATGACAAGACCTTTTGGAGGTTACTAATTCATACGGTCTCCATAAGTCAGAAGTGATTTGACAGGACATAAAAGAACAAGAAATATCTAGAAACATTCTGAAGCCCCTATTGAACATTCTTCCTCTGAAGCAGCGATTCTCCTCCTCCTCCTCCTCCTCCTCCTCTTTTTCTTCATCTTCATCTTTGTCTTTGTTGGTCACAGCAAATGTAAAATAAATATAGGACAAACCACAATTGTGGAAGTCGCATAATGGACCTTATAAGGTGGTGAATGAAGAATTCTCTCCAATCCATATCCTTCTTCAAATGTGCCAAGGCCCTGCAAGGGGCCATATGGCCCCCATTGAGAATGGCTGCTCTAAAGAATGATGGGTGCATTTTGGCATCTGTACCAAAATGTGCATTCAGATACTAATGTTCTCTCTACCCAGTGCTTGTAATAGAAATCATGTTTTACTGTTGGCTGTTTTTAGCCCTTGCTATATTTAATGCATGTATTTCATTACCAAGTTTTAAATATCTTTACATCAAGAGCTGCCCTGGCAGAGAGAGAGATGGAATACAAAAATAAAGATCAAATAAATATTGCAGCAAGTTGCAGAGAAATCTGAAAATACAAAGGCAAAAAATTAGTGACTGACATAATGAAACTCTTGGATTTCAAACTGCCACTCCTTATGAGTGACAATAAGAATCAGATGGCAGTGCTAATTGTTTCTATATTATATTTGTTCCTTGCTCTGTACAATATAGAGGAATGTATGTGGACATACCTGAGTGTTTCTTAAGGATGAAAAGATCAGTTCTTTTCCAATTTGTATCAGTTTTTCTTGTTTTCAATCATATGTCTAGTTCTTTGCATTTCTTTTTAAAAAGTATAATAATTACATTTAAATTGTGCATATCCCCCTCCAAATACAGTGGTGCCTCGCTTAACGATGTTAATTGGTTCCATTTAAAAAACCGTTATGTGAAAACATCGTTAAGTGAAACACCATTTCCCATAGGAATGCATTGAAAACCGGTTAATCCGTTCCAATTGGAACAGATTAATGCTTGCAATCATTAGCCCACCTCCTGAAACCTACGCAAACTTAATTTGGTTTTGTTCTGAGCCGTTGTTAATTTTTGGTGATTTTTTTTCTCATTGAAAAGCATTGGAGGGAAAAGAAGGGAGATCGGAAAGAGCTTTAAAAGGGAAACGGAGATCAAAGAGCCCTTTCCGATCTCCCTTTTCGCTCCTGTAAAAGTGTCTTAAACTGTTTGAAGCCTGTTTTAAATGCTTGCAATCGTTAGCCCACCTCCTGAAACCTATGCAAAGTTAATTTGGTGTTGTTCTGAGTCGTTGTTAATTTTTGGTGATTTTTTGTCTTTCCCTCATTGAACTCTATTGAACTGTCCGTCCAATGCATTTCAATGAGAGAGAAAACAAAAAATCACCAAAAATTAACAACGACTCAGACCAACACCAAATTAAGTTTGCATAGGGTTCAGGAGGTGGGCTAATGATTGCAAGCATTTAAAACATGTTCCAAACATTGTAAGACACTTAAAAATGAGCGAAAACGGACATCGGAAAGGACTTCAAAAGCACTGAAGCCAGCTTCAGTGCTTTTGCTGACCCCTATGCAACCTTAATTTGGTGTTGTTCTGAGTCGTTGTTAATTTTTGGTGATTTTTTTAAATTCTCCATTGAAAGCCTTTGCAAGCATTTAAAACAGGTTTCTAACAGTTTAAGACACTTTTACAGGAGCAAAAAAGGGACATCATTAAGTGAAATTCCCCCATAGAGAACATCGTTAAACGATGGGGGAAATTCCTCAAAGAAACCCATCACTGTGAATTCATCGTTGTATGAAGCAATCGTTGTGCGAGGCACCACTGTACATATTTTGTGAGAATTTCCACCCAGAATTTATTTTGTTCTTTCAGTGCTTTGTTTGCTGAAAGTCTCTGTGTGGATTTGTTTTCTTAAATATCCTGTTTGCAAAAATGCCTTAACAGGAGAGAAGAACCCAGGTGCCTGACTGCCATGGGTCACCTTTTGCCTACCTAGAAGAGCCTCATGGCGCAGTGGTTAAACTGCTGTACTGCAGCCAAAAAATGTGTTCACAACCCAGGGTTCAATCTCAGGTAGCCGGCTCATGGTTGACTCAGCCTTCTCTCCTTCCGAGGTCGGTAAAATGAGTACCCAGCTCATGGGGGGGGGAGGGCAATGTGTAACCTGCATAATTAACTTGCCCAGAGAGTGCTTGAAGAATTATGGGGTGGTATTTAAGCAGCACACTTTGTTTTGCTTTGCCTTTTTTGCACTTTTATTTCTGCAGGTTGAGGTTGTCCACTGTTCATGAGCCCAGCAGCTCCCTTGTCATTCTTGAGTGGGAGCACTCTGAGCCACCAATTGGAGTTCAGGTTGTTGATTACCTCATCCGCCAAGAGAAGGTCACAGACCGCCTGGATCATTCAAAGGTGGAAACTGGTGAGTTCAGGTGGTTCTTTTACTACTGAAAATAATGTAATCACAATATTATTAAAACAGCCCCAGTTTAAACATTAAATCAAAACTACCCTCTTCTAAACTATCTCTTAAGAAACATAATTACAAAAAGAAGCACACCCAAGGTGATGCACCAGCAACTAGGGAGAGAGGAGAAATGTATTAATTTTGCATAGTAAGATGCATTCACCCACTTCACAATTTGTAAATTGTGAACCAGAATACAATTGTCCTCCAGTTTTTAGACTTCTCCATAATGTGATATAGGTCTCTGATCTACAAATACATGCAAAATGTAGAAATCAGGGAAATAAAGAAACATATTTGGGGAGGTTGCTTTTAAAATAGTATTTATCTTACTGAATACAGGCTCTCTCTCAGAAGAGCAAAGCAGCTTGGCCAGCTTCCTTTTTCTAGGTATCCCTTGCTTCATATCTCATCAGTATTTTCAGATAATGGCTGTTTGCCTGTTTCCCTAGAGACAGTGCTGAGTTTTGTGGATGACATAATCTCTGGAGCCAAGTCACCTTGTGCAATGCCGGCGCAGGTGCCTGACAAGCTGTCCACAACCATCTCTTTGATCATTCGGTGCTTGGAGCCTGATACAACTTACATGTAAGTTACAATACCAGCAATTGAGTTTCTTGCACTAAAAATGCCACAACACACTTTGTAAGTTATCAGAGTGCACAGAATTCTTGTTCAAACTCAATATTGAACTACTGTGTTGCTGAGCCATGGCGTTCATCCTTGCTTATCTTTGTCTGCACATTGTTTCAGTCCTAAGGCTTGACTTAATAAACTTAGATCTTAGCCATTGGCTAACAAGGATGCAAGTTATAGGATTATTGTGTTGTTCTTTGCATATTTTAATAGGCTGAGTTTACACCCACAGGAAATACTTGAATTCCACTCAGAAGACATAGAAAACAAAAATATTAGCATGGAGTCATGGGCACAGAAGCATTCATGAAGTCTCCCTGGTGCCCACTAAGTCTATGTACATCTCTTCCTGCTTACGTTTGGGAGTGGGGAGGGAATGACTTTAGTATTATAAATATGCAAAGGTGAAACGGGGAGTGAGGTAAGACACTTTTGCCCACTTCCTGTTCTATGTCCAGCCTAATTTGTGTATCATGCAAATTACTACTAGGCATCTAGATTTGCATAAATATATTGCAAATAGGTATGGACTTTACCATCTTATAAAAATCAAACTCATCAATTGTTTTTCTGCCAGGATTGGCATTATTTGTGTAGGAATCACCAATTTAAAAAAATCAACCCAAAAGAAAGAACAGAGGACATGGGGAAAAGAAGAAATGAAGAAGGGGAAAAGAGAAAAGAAGGGAAGGATTTTAAAAATATGACAATGTACTAGGTGTATGCATTAATGTAAGCAGACTATGTGCCCCGAAAAGATTTTGTTACGGGTTGTTAACATTAAAAAGAATGTTCACAGGGCCCATCCACTCTATTTGTTATCAAGATTTCTCCGCTGATTGCTATGCAAGTGCGAGGGAAACTCATTGGCTTGGCATAAAATGCTGACTCCCAAGCTTGGACTGTAACTTCCAGGTTTGAGCACCGTGTGTATTGGGCTTTTGGGAATCATAGTCCTTAAACACTTGTGTATATAAGCGGTCATTATGGAGTACAAGGTTAGAGTGCCAGATGCACAAAGCTAGAGTATTAGGTTTACAATGGTTAGAGTATTAGAAGTACAAGAAAATTTGGTAATGTTTATCTTGTTTAGACTTGTATAAGTAAAGATAAGTACCGTATTTTTCACTCTATAAGACACACTTCCCCCCCAAAAAAGTGGGGGGGGGGAAGTGTGTGTGTCTTATGGAGCGGATACTGTAAAACAGCGCTCCCCTGGGGTGGGGGAAGCATCGGAAGGGTCTGAGAGTGCCTTCCAGGACCCTTCGGAGGCTCCACCCACCCCCGGGGTGCCAGCGGGGGCAAAATCGCTAGCTTCCATGACCCTTCTGAGGCTTGGAAAGAAAGAAAGTCGAGGCACCACTGTACTCTAATTATTGTGTATTCTCCAAATAAGTAAGTTTTTATAAAGAAGTGTTAAGAAAAATAGGGAATATAAGGAAAGGCCATATAATAATGGCCAGGGATTTTAATATGGTTATGGATAAAAGAAAAGATAAATCAAACCCCACTAGAGAAGAGATCAATAATATTATTACCGCTCTAAATAGAATGATATGGAAAACTGACTTGAGAGACATATGGAGAGAGATGAAGACAGATGAAAAGAGATTTACCTTTTATTCATCACCTCATAAAAACTACTCTAGGATTGATTATATGTTTGCATCTAAAGATTTGATTTCACGAGTGGTTAATACAGAAATAGGAATTATAAAGGTATCTGATCATGCTTTAATGAATATGGATATTAAGATAAGAAAAGATTACAAGCAAGCTAGACTCTGGAAGATGGATACAAACATTTTGCAAAAAAGGTTATTGTGAATAAAATAACAAAAGAAATGACAGAATTATGGCCTATTCATGAACAAGAGAGTTGCAGTAAAGGTATTTTGTGTGAAGTCTGCCATGAGAAGAATAAATATTAGGGAATCGTGTAAACTGAAAAAGCAACAAGACAAACATATGAAGGAGATAGAGGAAGAAATAAAGGAAATGGAATTAAGATATAAAAGGAATAGGGATAAAAATCTTTTAGCATCTATGCTGTGACAAACCCAGACCTACTGGGATCTGCCACACAGTTACACTAAGCTGCCACCAACCATTCCCTTTAAGAAGTCACACAGACCAGGGATGGATTTTTAAACAATAAAAAGAATAAGGTTTATTTTAAATACACACAGGGAAAAATAAACAATCAGGTGAATAGATAAAGTAACGTGGCTTAGATTCACTCAGACATACATACAGTTTGGTTCACCCAGAACCTTTAACTTAAAGCACAGACCCTGAACCTATCAGTTCTGGCTAACCAACAGACACCTGAACCTATCAGGTTGGTACTCTGACACACCGTAGTACCCTGTCTGACACACAGACTCCCACACCAACTCCTTCTTCCCAGCTGCTGCTTCGTCTGCTTTGCTTCTCACAGCATCTCCTTCTCACCACACATGCATCACATATTTATACAGTACAGCCCCTCCTCCTGATGTCCCGCCTTCCACTCCCCATAGGATGGAACTTTCCCTCCAAACCCATGACAGACAGGCAACATCAGTGCTGCATGTAACATATGCTAGCAAGGAAAAAAGAACTAGAGAACATAGAGATGGAGAAGATTCAGAAAAAAATTAATATATTTAAAGAGAGATTTCTTGAGTTTAGCAATAAAAATTCAAGAATGCTGACAAGAGCCATACAAGTTAAGAAGTTGAAGGGTTCTATAGGAGTAATTAAGGACAGAAGGGGGAAAACATGCAACTTGATGAAAAAAAATTGTCAGTTTTCCAAGAATTTTATCAAAGATTATATACAGAGGGCACACTCACAAAAGAAAGTGTGAGGAATTATGTTGAGAAACATTTAGGGACCAAACTCGAAGAGGGAGATAGATATTTAATGGAACAGCCTATAAGAAAGGA